CCCTACATATATAATGTGATAGTGCCCTGTGGTGGACAATAATTGAAGATAGGGAACGGAACTATTGTACCGACAGACAGTCAGCAGTCGAGATAGAACCGCCAAGCGATCAACCTATCAACATTTAAGCAGTCGTTGTAAAATTGTGTTGTGTTATTATGCTGTGTTATTTTAAGTGAAATGTCGCGACGAATTGTGCAGAGAGTTAATGAAATTCGCAACAGTATTCACACCAATAAAATCACATGTTAAACAATTTGTTGACATCATTATCAGAGGAGATGTTTACGTGAAAATGTTTAGGTTGACCATACTGTATACAAAACAGTTGGAGTTCTCAAAGAACCCAACTGTCCTTCAGATAATACCACTCCATCCGTAGCATGCAGTTTCCCAAAAAGCCATTACTTCCCTCAAAATTTAGCATTTTATTTCGTTATGACCCACAGCTGTTTATAAGTCAAGTCACCGTCGAGTTTTAGCAGAGTTTTTTTCGCATCCATTGTTTAACCCTTAGCGGACGACGACTTTTTCGGCCGAGCCAGGTAGCAGGACGAGGCGATTGTCGCCTGTCACTCGCCATTCGTTCTGCCGCGCTAAACGCCGTGGCGACCGAGAGTCGCCTCTCGTCCGCTAAGGGTTAAGTTGAGGCACTTTTCCGTCGATTCTCTGCGTGTGTCACCGGAAGGTACGAAAATACGAATCACACCTCTCAATATATGGACGGTTGCTCTCATTAATATTCGGGTACAATAATATGTATGCTATCTCTTCATATGTTCTGCTGTGTTTAAGGTGCATCATGTCACTTATTGTGCATAATGATACATTATTTCTTACAGATTGAAAATACACAAATAATATTTTTTAACAATATTTATTAATACAATATATTTTAAATCAAAAACTTTAAATTAAAATTATATAAATTAAATTATTATTATTAAATTATATATTTAAATTAATATTATATACACAAGTTGTACAAAATTTAAATCTTAACCCTTTGCACTCCGCTGTCCCCTCTCGTGGGACATCGAATTCTAGCATATCACTCGGATGTCCCCTCTCGTGGGACATTAAAGTTTATTAGTGATTACGGGTAATTAAGTTATTTCAGCGCAACTTTTTGAGACATGCATGTTTCCCTGAAGTTTTCTTTTGAAATGGCACAAGAAATTAAGTCAAAATATAGCAAAATTACTAAGAAGATATACAGGGTGTCCCACAATTATTTTAACAGCCGAAAATGAGGGGTAGCTGAGGTCATTTGAAGTAACTTTTTCCTTTGCGAAAATGCAATCCGCGGCTTTGTTTACGAGTTATTAACGAAAAACACTGGCCAATGAGAGGTGACGGTGCGAGAGAGAGGGTCCGCGAGAGAGTCCGCAGCACGAGGCTTTGACAAAAGGTCGGGACGGACTCGAGCCGCGTTCGAAGTATTGAACAAGTCACGAAGCGAGAACTTTCCGGATTTTTTTAACTACATAACAGTGATATTTTTAAGAAAAACGCTGTTCACCTTTACTTTAGAACGTCTGAAGAATATTTACTAATTTTTCGGAC